CCTGCATTAACTGTTCTTGAAGAGGCAGGACCTCGCCCTTCACTGTCCTCCTCCCGGTCCTTGGAGGTGACTGCCTGAGCGCAAAGCCAGCTGTCACTCAGCAGTGGAAGGACCCTGGGCAAGTTATCCGACACCTAAGCCTCTGGGTCCTCCTCAGGAAGAGGGAACTGATGCTTGCGTGGAAGGTTGCTGAGCGAACGGACCATAATGTGTTGAGACCCGTTAGCTCTCACTGTGGCTGGCCCGAACGGGATAGGACTTCTGTGCGAGTCTTCACCTCTTCCCTGGGCCTTGCGATTATTCTGTATCAGACTGGGCGTCTTTTGGCCACAAAGTAGAGCAACAAAGGTAGGTTTACCCGGCCGGCCAAACTAACCGTGGTGGATCTGTGATCCTTGTTAATTGGAAGCAACGTGATGCTTAATTAAGGCCCCAGCAGCTTTGATCCCTCCGTTTACATCTTCCAGCTCCAGGGCTATTGCCCACAAAACGCAGACGTATCGCGAATTCACTTGACGAGACTCTCGGGCAGATTCTTGGCTCACTGGGCACGACGACACTTCACAGTCCTTCTCTCAGGAGCATGACTGGATTTCTAACCACTTCCGCCCACCAGAGCACTTTGAAATGATTGGTTCTGGTTTTTTTAATAACATCCGGCCTTTTGTGGCACACCGAGATGGTATTTAGAAGGGAGGAGGGTGCAGTGGAACGTGGTGAAAAAAGAAACAGACTTTTTTTTAAGTTTATGTATGTATTTTGAGACAGAGAGCATGCACATGCATGAATGGGGAAGGGGCAGAGAGAGAGAGAGGGAGAGAGAGAGAATCCCAAGCAGGTGCCACGCTGTCAGCCCAAAGCCTGATGTGGGGCTGGAACTCACGAACCCTGAGATCGTGACCTGAGCCAAAATCAAGAGTCCGACACTTAACCCACGGAGCCACCCAGGTGCCCCAAAGAAACAGACTTTGGTATCTGAGAGACTGTGGTTCTCTCGCTTAGGAGCTGTGGGACCACGAGCAGGGGCTTCTGCCTCTGATCCCTGGTACGATGGGAATATCGGTGTCTCTCCCACGGGATGCTTGAGGAGGTAGAATAACAGAAACAATGCCCCAAAATGGAGGTTCCATAGATTATACTGTCGGAGAGGGAAAAAAAAAAAAATCTTTGCTCTACCCTCTTAGGTTCAGTGACTGGGGCCATGCAAATTGAACAGACCACGGGAGAAGGTTTGTGTCATATGCATATGGCGGGCCTCACAGAAATGAAACGAAAACCACAGAGGTGGTTGGGCCCTGGGGCTTACATATCATTTCAACCAAAGGATGATAAGTTTGTGGGGAGGTGACCAGGAAAGGAAGAGAGCTTTGAGCTCCCAGGGCGCTGAATGGTGGGAAGGCAAAAATATGGGGAAGCAGATGGAGATAAGGATTATTCTACTGGAGCTTGTTGATGCAGACCCATCTTGCTGTGACTTTCGACTTTCCGTTGTCTTCACGGCCCTAAAACCCCAGGCAGGGGAGATTCATAACAGTCCTCGTTTTCAGAAGTTTCTGCACTTAGCCAGGTAAGGGAGGCTCTGGGGAGGCTTGTAGCTGTGGCCTTCGTGGCATATTTGGGGGCAGCGTATTCTGATGCTTGTCAGTACCTTATTACCGTTGTCATGTCGTTACCGGATGAGTTTTCTGCCCACGTCACCGAAGAGACGATGATTCGTGAACAACCGTCCCATTAGGGCCATGAGGAAAGCACGGAAACGATAACTTAGTTTCAGGGTAAACTTTTGGACATCGGATCCAGTCTTCGTAAGATGTAATCTTGAGGATCGTATCTCTAACCGAATGGGGAATACTGTCTCTCTTGTTTGCCACTGGAGTGCAAATATCTTTATTGCTTCTGTGTGTTAAACACATTCGTGGTACTTGCTCTGTGCCCAACACTGTTCACTGTATTTTACAAATAGCATGTGTTAGTCCTCCTGACAGCGTTGGGTGAGGAAACTGAGGCATGGAGAGGTTCAGTGACTTGCCCAGCTAGCAAATGGCAGAGCCTGGAAGCTGACTCAGGCTGGCAGGCTCCAGGGTCCGTGCTGGTGACACCAATGCCATGCACTCTGCAAATATTTTCGAGTGAATGAAGGTTAAGGGATTGACCCAGACAGCACTACTCAATAGCCAACTTAAGATTAAAATCAAGTCTCTCTGACCTACACCCAGCTCCTCCCCAGGGTGTCCCACCATGGCCCACGCTCCCAAAGAGGAGTCAAGGGAAGCTTGACCTCCCTAGTTTGGCAGAAAGGCAAAACGCAGCCAGTTCTGTTTGTATAAGCTGCGGAGTGGAGGGCACGTCCCCGGCCCCATGAATCACCGCACACAGTCTGCATCACTCTCCATCTTCTCATTTGTCCTTTCTGGGGTCGGGGCACTGAACGGTGTGGAAATTCTTGTGGAAATTAGCAGCCCCCGGGTGGCTGTTAATTGAGTGCCCGTCTCTTGATTTCGGCTCAGGTCATGATCTCACGGGTTGTAGGATCGAGCCCCGCATCCCATGCGGAGTCTGGAGCCTGCTTGGGATTCTCTCTCTCCCTCTCCCTCTGCCCCCCCCACTGTCTCCCTCCTTCCCTCCCTCCCTTCCTCCCCCCCCCTCAAAAAATGAAAGTAAATTAAAAAAATGAAAAACACAATGTGGAAATGCTTGAAAAGGAGAGCGAGCCAGCTGAGGACCAGGGGTGGGATCCTCACAATTCTCAGCTCACACGTTCAATCCGCGGATTCTGTCTAATTCAGCAGAGAATTCACGGAGCAATTCTCCCGGGTCAGTACCACATCAAGCCCGTGGTAAAAGCAAGTTCTCTTTGATAAAACTCCCCGACTCTCCAAACTACCGTAGCTCCAAAGACTGCCGGAGATACACTTAACAAATTCTGCATTGTTTATCTCAAATTCGTATTTAACTGGGTGTCCTGTGTTTTCATTTGCTCGATGCGGCAACCTCACCCCAAACACATAGTCGATTTGGCCAAGAGCAAAGAATTAAAAAAAAAAACAAAAAAACAACTAGACAGAAAGAAAAACACATTTTTCTCCAAGAACAAAATCAATAGAAAGATGCCTTCTCACCGTAATAAGGGTTAGCGTGTCTACTCTTCATAAATGGAGGCGGCGATTAACACGAGGAAGCAGGAGTCGAAAAAGGGAGGTGTATCCATTACGTAGATGTGGATAATTATTTTTCTACTACAAATTTGTGTCTGTTCCCGCCTCAGGCATGGTGTGGGGCTTCAGGAGGGGGGTGGAGGAGGAAGGGGGGAAGACAAGAGACCAGAGGTAAGAGAACGAGACAGGAATTAGGATGCCCAAGTATCGACCCCCTTCAGATACCTACCGTACCATGCTCGATGCTGTGATCCTTCATCTCATTTCATCTGCACGAATTATCTTCCAGATGGGCTGTGACTCTGGCCACTTCGCACATGAGGCGCAGAAAGGCGAAGTAATGTTTGCACAGCAGTTGAGGGGCTGGAGGAAAGAATCCTCACGTAGTTGGCTCACCTGTACCCCTTTGCTGGACAGTGTGGACAGTGTGCTAAGTCCTGCATTCTCCAGCCTGCCTCTCTCTCTCTCTCTCTCTCGTTTTCTCTCTCTCTGTCTCTCCCTCTCCCCCCCCCCCCCCCCCACCCGCCGCCCCTCTCTCTCATCTCCATTGTAAATCACTCTATGGAGAATGTAACTCAGTTGGCCTCGAGTGTGAATGAGGTGCTCCAGTCCCCATCTCCTCTAAGGTACTGATCAGCTTGAGGGAAGGTGCATGTGTGGTCTGTCCCTGTGTCACCAACCAGCACACGATGACCGTATATGTGTTGAGCACCTACCGTGTGCCAGGCTCTGGGTAAAATGCCTTGGACTCATTATCTTAAATCCTCACAAAGACCCAGTGAGCTAGGTTTCTGGTCCCCATTTTGCAGATGTGGAAAATAGATTCGGAGAGGAAACACGTTTACGAGAGTAAGAGGGCTTCAAGAAAGCCCCGGCTTCTTGCTCCCTGGTAAGGCTCGTCTCTGTCCAGGGAGGCATTCAGAAGAAACACCATTCTTGGGGCGCCCGGGTGGCTCAGTCGGTTAAGCGTCCAACTTCGGCTCAGGTCATGATCTCGAGGTTCAGGAGTTGGAGCTCCACGTCGGGCTCTTTGCTGACAACTCAGCCTGGAGCTTGCTTCGGATTCTGTGTCTCCCTCTTTCTCTGCCCCTCCCCTGCTCATTCTCTCTCACTCTCTCTCTCTCTCTCTCTCAAAAATAAAGAAAAACATTTAAAAAATTAAAAATAAAAAAAAATAAAGAAAATGCCCAGAAGAAGGGCTGGCACCCAGTGCCGTAGACAAGGACACAGGACGAACCCTCACGTACACTCGGGTATGATTTTCCTATTTAGCAGCAGCGGTGATGCTGTATTGGGAGCGAGTCTCCCAGCCAAACAGCCAGAGAGCCTATGGGAGAGGCATTGCTGGTTTGTGACTATGCACGCCTCCCCCTCCCAGATTCCCGGGTTTCTGCAGTCATGCGGGGCCACGGGAATAATCCTGGCACGGGTTCTAGGCAGGAGCGAGCGTGGCATTTCCTGCCAGAGCACGTCAGTGGCCGCATAGTCCTCCGACTCTATCCCTTCCGCTGCCACAGTGAACCAACGACGAAGGAGCCCGCAGGGACCGGACGGAGAGCTACAGGGCAGTGAAGCTCCCCGAGGGACTGTGGAGCAGAGCTCGTCACCAACGTGCAGCGAGTATTGACATAGACAAGAAATCGATTTCTGTTGCCCCATTCAACCCGATGAGGTTATGGAGTTCATCTGTTACCGCAGCATAACCTAACCTAATCCGGGCGATTCAGAGCCTTCTGCGGGTTGTTTCTGATGACTGCCCAGGCGGTTTTCTCAAGGATATTCTGCATCAGTGTGCTTAGTAACCCAACCTGTTTCCTCCAGGGGCCTCCTCGCCTGCTTCCAGACATGCCGGGCTTCCCGGGACCCGGTCCTCCGGTGAGGCTGTGCGTGGGCCTCACGTGCATTCTGTCCCTTTGGAACACAGGTGGGTCCGGTCTGAGTTCAAGAAGTGCCTGTTCTATATGCCGAGCCTGGGTTTTCACTGGGCTTTGGAGAATGACAGCAGCTAACATGTCCGGCCAGAATCCTAAATGAGTCCCATCGAAACGGCGATGATGAATTCCCCATGTCTGGTTTTGCCCTCTGACTTCCTGCACCAGAGTCTCTGTTGCGCAACAGCATTATCTCCCCCGCCACTGTTACGCCTCTTGTCCAAACCACTGTCCTCTCTTTCCTGGACCATGAAGGGAGCTTTCTAAATCAGCCCCTGCTTCTCCTCCTGTCTCGCCATGACCTATTCTCCACTCACCAGCCTGGGCGATCTTTTCACAACTCTCGGCAAGTCACCTCCCAGGCTCCTCCCCATTTCACCTGCCCCAAGTTATTCAGTGACTTCCTACTTCTCTCTGGAGCGTACCCCAAGTCCTCCGCATAGTCTACACGACCCTGCCCACCTTGCCATCCCCGGTTCCTACGATGCCCCGCCTCAGCACTGGCTTTCGCTCAGTTCTTTAAAGTCGTGCTCGTGCCCACCGCGTCCCCTGGCACACACACTGTCATCTACACTCTGCCGACCCCCCCCCCCCCCAGCCAGTTACATTCTACTCAAATACTATTCACCCTTCAGCCGCACATCACCTGCCAGGGAGAGCTTTCAGACCACCGAGATGAATCGGGCTCCCTGTTACACACCCTCAAGGCGCTCTTCAAAGCATTCCGCGTCATTCGTCGTAATATCTTTGAGTCTTCTTTTCCTTTACGTCGGCCTTCCCGACTAGACTATAAGCACCACAAGGATGCAGTCTGCACTCGCTTGTTCATCATGGTATCCCCGGCACCCAACACACGCAAAGCTTATTAAAGTCCAGCTGCTACATAACATGGTCACAGTCGATCAATAAATACGCAGTGACTGAACTGAAAGAGCCAACTACGCGTGGCATGTTAAGCAAGGCACTTCGCCGTTTCCGATCATAGTCTTCTCGTCTTTAAGATGAGCGTGTTGGATCAAATTCTTTCCCGTGTCAAGCCTGGGTTATGGTTTCTCTGATGAGCGCTCTTTTATTTTAGTGTCTGCTGTGAAAGGAGAAGCCAAGAAGGAAAAGGTGATGACCCTCCTTCCTCCAACAGGTAAACGGGCGGGTGTGCCTGCCCCGCTCATTCTCAAACTCCTTGGCTTCTCCGAGCCTCACTGTTCCTGTCTGTAAGACGGGGCTTGCGTCTGCAGCTTAAGCGTTAACTGTCATAGTAAGAGTTCCTGACAGTTGTGCTTGCTCTATGACTCGTGGGACCCCTGGATTCCCGTGATCTTATTAAATCCACAAAGATCACCTCGCTCGATCAGCAATGGACGATTTCGCAATGGGAGGCATTGTCATGGGCTATCCCCATTTTTGCAATAAATTCCTCTTTCCTTGCCTCTTCTTTTTCTTTTTGGTGGTGCAAACTCTGCTCTGCAGCACGACCGTGGATGCATTGCAACATAAGGAGCACACAGGAGGCAGGGGCCTGGCTGCCTTTTCCAATCTGTTGGCAAACAAGCAGGATAATGGGGGTGGGGGCGCACAGTGGGGGAATTACTCTTTATTTTTAAAATTTTGATTTATTTACTTTTTTTAGTGAGAGAGAGAGAGACAGAGCATGAGTGAGGGAGGGGCAGAGAGAGGGAGACACAGAATCTGAAACAGGCTCCAGGCTCCAAGCTGTCAGCACAGAACCTGACACGGGGCTCGAACTCACAGACCGCGAGATCATGAGCTGAGCCAAGTCGGATGCTTAACCGACTGAGCCAACCAGACACCCCTATTTATTCGTTTATTTTGAGAGAACGAGAGAGAGAGAGCTGAAGCAGGGGAAGGGCAGAGAGAGAGGGAGAGAAAGAATCCCAAGGAGGTTCCTCCTTGTCAACGCAGAGCCCGATGCGTGGCTCAAACTAAGGCACGAACTGTGGGATCATGACCAGAGCCAAAACCAAGAGCCAGACTCTTACTTAACCAACTGAGCCACCCAGACACCCCGTAATTTTACTTAGTTTTAATTAGTGCATTCGTGTGGTGGTTCCAGATGCAAAAACGCAAAAGGAACAAAAGTGTACGAAGTGAAAATGGTCCCCAGCCAAGCGCTTCCCTTCCCCAGAGGACACGAGTGGTACCGATCTCTGGTGCATACGCAGGGTAATTGTCGATAAACATTTTCCTTATTTGAGCCGTCAGTTTTCTCCTCTTCAAATGGGGACAATTTGTGCTCCACAGGTAATCATAAAGGATGAACCGTGGTTAAACTAGTAAGCACGCAAAAAATATGAAAACTACCAACACTTTCTCTCTTACAGATACCGCTAAGGTGGTCTTTTCATCCAAAAAGGGAACAGTCCCTTTCTATTGTCTGTCTGGCCATTTATTTGAGAAATGCTTCTGTACGGCATCCTATTCAGAAATTTGTGCCTCAGGGGTGTTTCGTTCACGCGTCAAATACTGTTATCAGAATCCACCCACAAGTGTGCAATTACACAAAGGAATGATGGACATAATGTCTCCTTGATGGAAGGAGTGGTGTTCGGGGAGGGTTCTCGGTTAGGAAAGTTTGCACAGGGCCGGCCAGCCTCACAGCCTGTAGCACCCCTGTGGCCTGGAGCTCCAATCCCTCACCGGCACGGAGGTCTCTTTGTCCTTCCCGGCCAGGTCACAGGCGAGGTCGGCGGCTGCCACAATTGTCACTGGGGCGGCTTCCTGTAGACTCTTCAGGTGGAGTGCCCTTCAGAGCGCCAGACGGGAGAGCAGGCCGTGTGCCAGCTCTTCACCTGCTTGATCACAAATGTCTGTCTCAGAGTTCCTACTGTCGTCGCGTCACCCACTCCCCCCAGTAACCGTGTGTACGGAAGGGGACCCGTGGACCCCACCTGCCTCTGACCTCAACGCTCCAGTAGTTAACCAGGAAGCTTGGTTAAAAGCTTGGTTGAAAAGCCAGGGAACACCCCAAAACATTCGTCCACAGATGAACGGATAAAGAAAAAGCGGTATGTCCATTCAGTGAAACATCATGCAGCCTTAAAAAGGAAGATAATCTTGCCATATACATGATGGATGGTCCTGGAGGGCGTTATGCTACGTGAAGCCAGTCACAGAAGGACGAATACTACATGATGCCTCTTCTTCTAGGAGGTATCTAAAATCGTCACTCCTACACGCAGAGAGTAGAAAGGGGGTTGCCAGAGGCAAAGGGAAAGAGGAAACAGGGCCACTGGTCAGGTACGGGGTATAACTACATACATCATGTCGCTTTCCTGGGCCTCAATTTCCCCATCCTTCAAAGGGAATGTCGGACAAGATACTTGCAAAGGATGTTACGAATTGTGCACGGCTGCTTTTCCACAATCCTGTTTCGTTCATGAGAACTTTTATTTCAGTGTCTGGAGACAAAGACATTCAAAAGGAAAAAGAGGCAGCCATCCTTGGCACGACGGGTAACTAAGCCAGCCTTGAATCCTGACTTGCTTTGTAGCTCTGGAACTTGGTTTTCAGCCTGTCTGTGCCTTGGTTTTTCCATCTATAAAATGGGCATAAAGCCCCCCCCCCCCCCGGAATGTAACACGAAACATAATCATTCCGACAATATTAGAAACAAATGCGATATGTTCATAATGCCACCTAACCCCAAACCACCGATCCTTCAGGTCATGGCTTTCCAGCCACTTCCACAGAGAGTCCCTCTCGAGAGTGCCCCCTAGACCAGGCCAGGCATCCTGAGGGAGGAGCTCGTGGCATCCTGCTGGGCCCCGTCTGCTGCCCCTCACGTGTGATTACCCTCCTCCTGCCCGGGGCACAGACAGCAAACCCCACAGAGGCGGAGACCTGTCTCTCTCTCTCTCTCTCTCTCTCTCTCTCTCAACTCCCAGCATGATTGCATGGCCCTCAGTGAGTGTTTGTTGAATGAATAAAGAATGAAGGTACGCTTAGGCATTTCAAGATTTCCTGTGACGTTTTCTTCGCTAGCACGAACTTCACCGAGCAGGCCAGTGGCCTGCTCTCATGACAAGGCCACTTGTCTGCAGCTCTTAGGAAACAGGTTCTGGGCTCTCTTGTTTAGGCAAGCTTCTTCTCCACTCTGAGCCTCAGCTTCCTGATCCATAAAGGGGTGGGGTAGATTAGGCCCCCTGCCTGGGGATCACCTGCCTGTTTATTAAAATGTGAATTTCTAGGCCAAGGTCGGCCTAAGGAGACTCGAGTATTGGGGGGGAGGAGTCTGCCTTCTCACACGGCAGGTGATTCCACCCTTCTCTAAGCCCAAGGCCCCTGCGCCGAGGCCCCTAAGTCTCTTCCAGCGATGTGTCTCCCCTGAAGTCTTTCTCTCCCCAGTGTCTGGCCTTGGAGGAGAAGAGAGGAAGGAAAAGGGGGTGGCTTTTCTCGACACCACGGGTGAGTCCCTTCCTCCCTTCGGGGCTCCGTGGGCGGGCCGGCTAAGGGAGCCCCCTCCCCGCCCCCACGTCTCCAGACCCCCACTCATAATCCCCACAGCCTCAGTCTTCAGATTGCGAGATCCACACAATTATCCAAGCATTAAGCACTGAGAACCACCTTGTTAGTGAAAATATAAAGAGGCGCATTAACCACTCTTTCCGCCTCGTCTACTGCTATCCCGAATCTTCAGGAAAGAGCCTGCGAGGGGCGGGTCTTAACCTGGCAAGGTCTCTCCACTCAGCTGCACACTCCCAATATCTGGGGGAGTGACCCACTGGTTGATTGATTTTGGTGCGGATGTCTGGGCCGCGTCCCAGACCTGTTAGATCCAGATCTCTGAAGAGGGAGTCCGAGCATCAGAATAGCAGAATCAAAAAAAAAAATAAATAAAACCAAACGTTTTTCTCCGAGTGATGCCAGGTGCCCAGCCAGGGCATCGTCTGTTCGACCACGTAGTCAGTTCCAAACGCAGTGGGGTTGAGAAACCTTGCCGTTTCCGTGGGCTTCCCATCACGCGTGGGCATCCGCCACCGATCTCTACTGTCCCCAAATGCAGAGATAAATTATTCACAAAGGGAGCGCTCCCGTCCTTCACGGGGACTTGTCTTCTCTAACTTGTCATGATGTATGCCGCTGGCTGTCACCTCCTGAGGACGAGAACCGCCTTTTATCTCCGGACTCCGTGTGCCCGGCAGTGGGGATGAGCTCCAGAAACGTCCAAAGACGAGGCACAGGTGCCTGAATGTCGGCATCGGGGAACTTCTGTTGTCGAAAAAAGCCTGCTGGTGACAGTATCTGCAAATCTCTTCTAGAACTGCCCGCAAGGTCAGTCGATCTGTCCGCGCTGAACCTGACAGAGCTGGTGAACGGGATGCTGAGCAGAGCTTTAAAAGGTAACCTTCGTCGGGGCCCCCGGGTGGCTCTGTGGGTTGAGCATCTGACTCTTGATTTCGGCGCAGGTCATGACCTCACGGTGGGTGATTTCGAGTCCCGCATCAGGCTCCAGGCTGGCAGGTGGATCCTGCTTGGGATTCTCTCTCCCTCTCTCTCTGTCCCTCCCCCACTTGCACTCTCTCTCTTTCTCTCTCTCTCTCTCTCTCTCTCTCTCTCAAAATAAACAAACATTCAAAAAAAATTTTTTTAAGGGTAACCTTTTTAAAAAACCCAGTCCAGGCACACGTTGGTCTTGCGCCCACTTCCCTTCTGGAGGGTCTGCAGTCTGGACAAGACAAGTCACATCTCTGCATGCCAGCTCCTCCCTGCTCAGATGGAAGGCGTGGTGTCCTCCCGGACCCCTGATGAGATTGAAAACATCCACATCAAATAGGAGGCTGGCCAACATCTTGAGAGCGAGCTGCACCCCAGACATGGCACCCGGACAGACATTTCTAATCACACCAGCCCTGCGAGAGAGCCACCAGGGCTTAGGGACAGATCGGAAACACAGCCAGGGGACAGGTCCTTCTGCAATTTGGGTTTTGCTTATATTCAATTTTGCGCATTAACTTCCATTTTTGTTCCTTTATTGTATATTTTTGTCATTTATTTTTATTTGCTCACCATCCTTTTTTTAAAAAATTTTTAATGTGTATTTTATTTTTGAGAGAGAGAGAAAGAGAGAGTGTGAGCAGGGGGGCGGGGGGGGGGGGCAGAGAGGGAGACGCAGAATCCGAAGCAGGCTCCAGGCTCTGAGCTGTCAGCCCAGAGCCCAATGCGGGGCTTGAACTCACAGACCGAGAGATCATGGCCTGAGCCGAAGTCAGACGCTTCACCGACTGAGCCACCCAGGCGCCCCTCATCATCTTTTTAATTTCTCTTATCTATTTACTAATTGGTAGTATTCTTATTGTCAGTAGGCATTTGACTTCTTTATCTCACTATCTCTGGCAGATACGAAGAAGTTCTTCTCCCTGCTAAGCATCACCTCCTACAGTTCCGTGGCCTTCCACAAGTTTTCCGTGGCCATTTACAACAGTAAGTGCCCCCGGCTCTGCTGGGCGGAGGTGATGGTGAGCGACCGGCCGGCAGGGCCAGGTTCTGTTTCAGGATTGCCGTGTGGATCGTGTCTCTTCACAGTTTCTAACCTGAAGGCTGTGGACCCCGCCAGGTTCCCCACCCGGTACTGTTACTGTCTGAACAACCGGACCAATGACTTATCAGGTGGGTGGAACCGCTCCCCACCCCCCCCCCCAGGCTTGCGGCTTTCCTGATGTCGCTTGTGCCCTTTCAGATGAGTTTGAATTAACTTCCTTTCTCCCTGGAGTGAAATAAGACAGTAATATCTATTATGCTTAAACGTGTGCGCACTTCACTGTCACAGAAAGTGCTTTCCTTGGTTTTTATCTTAGAGAAATAGGTATGACTGAACAAACGGGCAAGAACAAAATGTTCATGCTGCGTTGTTTTAAGAGAAAAAGTGGAGAACAACATACCTACGTATCATTAGAAAAATGGTTAGTTGCGTGTATAATTCAACTTTGGGAAACAGCCATAGGCATTGCATAAATGAATGGGTGTGGCCAGATTTGGCCCATGTATGGAAACATTTCCATGATATTTTTTTCTTTTTTTTTTTTTTAAGTTTTCTTTCTTTCTTTGAGAGACAGAGAGAGAGTGTGTAAGGGAGGGGCAGAGAGAGAGGGACAGAGAGAATCCCAAGCAGGCTCTGCACTGTCAGCACAGAGCCTGATGCAGGGCTCGAACCCACGAACTGTGAGGTCTTGACCTGAGCCCAAATCGAGAGTTGGGCAGTTAACCGACTGAGCCACCCAGGCGCGCCTCCGTGACATTTTTAATTAGAAAAAGAGAGTTACAAAATAATGCATAGAATACACGGTCATTGGTGAAGAGACACATACCTGGATGCCAGGCAAGTGGTTACCCCATGAAAGAAGATTGTGTTGCGTGTTTTGCAGCAGAAGAGGGTTGATTAAGGGGGCTTGGATTCATCTGGTCTTTTTTTTTTTTTTTTTTCAATGCGAGTATATTCACGTATTACTTTTATAATTGAAATGTAAAACTATTCGGTGTTCCTTCTGTTTAGAGAATCCTGCAAGGTGAAACTGAGAATTACTCTCTCAATGCTCATTCGCCCATCTAGTGATTCTTTACTGGGCGCATGTTGTTAGCCAGACCCTCTTCTGGGTGTGAGGGCCCCCACTGAGCAAAGCAGGCGCACACCCCCTGCTCTCATGAACTTGGGCTCTATAGGAAGGGACAGAGAGTCAATGGATACACCAAAAACACCTGGTATGTTGGCCGATGGCATGACCGTGAGAACAATAAAGCAGGGGACAGGGTGAGGAGGGAAGTGGTAATGGGCTCAGCTGCGGTGTGTAGCGTGGTCAGAAAAGTCCTTGCTAAGGAGACAGGAAGTGGAGGGACAACCCTGTGGTATCCGGGGACTGAGAGTTCCAGGCAAAATCCCAGACAGCGGGGTGCGGACTGGAGAGGCCAGCATGGCTGGAGCAGGCAAGCCAGCGCCGACAGTCATGGGAAATGAGCTCAAGGTTGTGGGGGCAAAGCAGGGAGGGTATCAGGGATTGAGTAGAAGTTTATAGTCCACTGCGAGGATTTGGATTCTCACCCTGAATAAGAAGGAAGCCAATGTGGGGGCACCTGGGTGGCTCAGTTGGGCAGGCGGCTGACTCTTGATTCAGCTCAGGTCATGATCCCACAGTTCGTGAGGTCGAGCCCCACATCTGGCTCTTCGCTGACAATATGGAGCCTGCTTGGGATTCTCTCTCTCCCTCTCTCTCTCTCTGCCTTCCTCCTCCCCCAAATAAATAAACTTAAAAAAAAAAGGAAGCCAATGTGATTGTCCACCCAGAAGAGTGATATGATCTAACTTACATTTTTAAAAGGATCTCTTTGGTTGTTGATTAAAAAAAGAGACTGTAGGGAAGTGCCTGGGTGGCTCAGTCAGTTAAACGTCTGACTTCAGCTCAGGTCACGATCTGTGGTCCGTGAGCTCGAGTCCCGCATCAGGCTCTGCTCTGACAGCTCGGAGCCTGGAGCCAGTGCCCCCGCCAGGAAAGAGTTTCTACTTCTACCTGGCGAGCCAAAGCATATTTCCCTATACCTGAAATGATGATTTGAAAAGAATTGATCCCTGGAACCTCACCACTGATAAAATAGCATATGGCTCCTCCTGTAAGCCACAGAGATTTTTACAAGGTTTACGACCGACACATTACGATGTGCTGATGCCCACTCCCCGCAGACCGGTGCCACGAGAGGCTGGGCACAGGCCGGCATCTTGTCACTGCTCAGGATCTGTAGGGAAGATGGATTTGTGGATAATCTTCAGACCCGGATTGTTTTCTCTTGAATATCCTCAACTCTGACTTAAGGCCCGCCTGTAAAGATGTATTTGCTGCATATTTGTTTTATTTCTCTAAATGAAAACAGCTTAAATTTTCTTGATTTGGAAAACAATCTATTGGGGCACCTGGGTGGCTCCGTCGGTTGAGGGTCCAACTCTTGATTTTGGCTCAGGTCATGATCCCAGGGTCGTGGGATCGAGCCCCCTGTCAGGTCCCATGCTGAGCATGGAGTCTGCTTAAGCCTCTGTCTCTCTCTCTCTCCCTCTCTCTCTCTCTCTCTCTTCCCCTCTGCCTCTCTCTCCCACTCATGCTTTCGGTCTCTTAAATGAAAAAAATTTTTTGAAGAAAATAATGTATTAAGAAGTCAAAATGTCAGATGGCAGGGACAGTATAATCAAAAAAATCAGAGGGGTGCCTGGGTGGCTCAGTTGGTTAAGCAGCTCACTCTTGATTTCGGCTCAGGTCATGATCTCACGGTTCACGGGTTCAAGCCCTGCGCTGGGCTTTGTGCTGACAGCTCAGAGCCTGGAGCCTGCTTCGGATTCTGTGTCTCCCTCTCTCTCTGCCCCTCCCCTGCTTGTGCTCTTTCTCTCTCTTTCTCTCAAAAATAAATGAAAACACTCTATTTTTTTAAATCAGAAACACCTGATGTCCCAACATCCATAGGTAATCCCATTACCCAAGGTGGTCTAAACCACCTCTAACCTGCCTGCCTAAGCCATCTGTCGGCTAGTTACCTAGCCTACCTGCCTGCCATCCCACCTACCCCATCCATCTACCCATCCAACTTTGCATTCTGTATATTATTTAGAATATAAGCCAGGCTAGTATGACAAATGACCCCAAAACAAGGTGGCTTACAGAGGGTAGAAGGTAATAGCTTTTGTGTGTGGCCATCTGGGTAAATATACCAGGGCTGCTCTGATGGTATGATGGTGTAGGGGGCCCAGGGTCCTTCTAGCTTGTTGCCTTGCCTCCCATGATGCATTGCCCTTGTTCTCATAGTCCAGGATGGTTTGCCACCGCATCCACATCCCAGCAACAAGGGAGAGGAAGAAAGGAACTGAAGACATGCCCGCCCACTATAGAAACTCACAGTCTGGAAACCTTCCACATGCTTCTTCCCACATTCAGTTGCCCAGAATTTAGCCCTATGGCCGGCCCCCCCCCCCCCCCCCCGCCCGGGGCAAACAGGCTCAAAAATGTCATTTTTAAGCTACGTTAAACCCGGTTGTGCCCAACTGAAATTTCATATTCTCTTGCTACAGGAAGGTGGGAGAATGGATATTGAGAGAAAACCTTCCATATCTACCATGTTTTCTATGTAGCATTATAATCCGCCTTTAAGCCAATCATATGTCTTAAAAACCGTCCTATTCCAATGAATATAAATATGCCTCATCCTTCGTATGAATTCATAGCATTGGTTGCAAGAATGTACCATAAGGGACTTAATTTGTCTCTTCTTGATAGAAACTTGGTTTATCCCCCCGTGTTTGTACGATTATCAACAACGCTGTACCTGTGTACGATCAGTTGAGTGCGTGCCCAATTATGCTGGAGGATATCGTCCTTGACAGGGAAACAATTTTGCAGTGATTCAAACTGCTAAAATGTTCTCTAGACACCTTGCATGAGTTTAGGCCCCTACCAGTCACGTTTGAAAGCGCGTGTTTTTCCCCCCACCCTTGCCCACATGAAGTACTAAGTCACATTCTTAAATCATGACCAATGGGATAGGCAAAAGGTTGTTTCCCCTATTTTCTGTTTATATGTGAAAGTGGTCAGAAATCACTCATCTCGAGGCATGGCTACTAAGTTAGATGATTCAGATTTTCATCAAAACAAAGAATATTGGTGAGGTAATGATAGCTGGTTTTCTTCCAAGCCTAATAAGGGGATTGCAAACAGCCATTCTGAAAGGAGAGTTCGCGCAGTGTGTTGAGTAAGGGGTTGCTCGAGCAGCGGTGGGAAAAGTGGGAAGAGTGGGCGCTTTGGCCCAACGTAGACCTCAGTTCAAATTCAAGCTCCACCACATCCTCGGGCGCCTTGGGAAAGTTCCATGATCTCTCCGAAACTTGGGCAGCGCCTGGATTCCATCCTTGATGTCCTGCCTCTAGACCCCCGGTCTTAGCTTCTATGCAATGGTAGTAGCAGATTGCCGTTTACTGCTCTGCCTCTGAGTCTCTCTCTCCCACGAATCTCAGCTTCAGGCGGGCAGAGATGGGGCCTCACACAATGCTTCAGTCCCGAGCAGGTGTCTGACACCCTGCAAACAGTCAATAAATATTCATGGTATAATTGAATTAATAAAAAAAGACATTTAAGAAGTAGGAAGGAAATGGATGGAAGGAGTCATGAAATGCCACCCTTCCTCACTTTCCATAACGTGACCAAGGACAGGCTGGTCTGAAGAGACACAGGAAGGAGGCATTCTTCTGCGTGGCCACATGGCCACATCTGCATCTGTGTACGACCGCCTGTCCCCTCTGGGAGACTGAGCGTGTGACTGTGCAGGTGTGGTAAGATCACACGATGGTTCTGGTTCCCTTAGAGGAATGTCCGCCTCCTCTTGGCCTCGTGGGCCGTACATTCCATTGGTTGTCACGTGACATTTTCCCGCCGCTCCGGGTTCCGCATTTTCAGTCCTCTGTGTTCTATATTTTCAAGTCACCTTGCCCCCCCCACTGAAGCTCATAATCCCGTTGAGTAAAAGAAGTGTTTTCCAAAGCATGACAGGAAATTATCCAGATGACACCAGAAGCTTCCCCCTTAACTGTTTGGGGCTCCTAACATTCATGCCCGTTTTGGAAGCCACACGTGCACTGGATCCTGGAAAACCACAAGCGAACAGTAGAGGAAGTCGCAGCACTTTGCCTGCACATGTATCGGGAGCTTTCATTGGTCAATGGCACCCACTGCGTCAAGCAATGGCCCTGTTCAAATCTTGCTCAGAGAGAAAGTTCACAAAGATTTGGAGCCTGAAATGTGACATTCTCCCCACCTCCTCCCTCAGCATTCTTCACAAGTGGGCACAGAAGTCCCTGGTTCTATTTTGTAGAGGCTTCCCGTCTCTTTATAACCCACCATTAACGTTTACCTCACTTTTTGAAAATCCAAAATTATGTAAATTCCTGTTGCCTACCTGTGGGGTCGCTTCCTGTCGAATAGATTTGGTATACTAAAGCAATTTGGTGAGATAATAGGGGACCACAAATGAGAACAACCATTATTCAGTAATGCGGCTTTTCCACAGACGTTTGGTGTTGGCATAGAGGGATTCGGAGGGAGAGGGCAGTGGGAAGGGAAATGATGGTGGATCCACAAGTTTTCTCCTGGAATTGAGACATCTTTATAATTAGTAATATTTCTCTGCATGGTCGTTAACGTCCCTCAACAAACAGAGCGAAATCAAACTCGTAACATTTACTCTGAAAAGTCCAAACACACTACACTTTTCCGCCCAAGTCTCCGGATCGGAACCGTAAACCTCCTCGATCCTTCTTGCAGATTTCACGGCCCTGCTGGTGGACGTCGTTGGAAATTCTACCAGCTACCTCACGGAGATTTTCAAGTCAACCTCAATCCTCTCAGGTGTGTTCATCTTGAAAACCCTTGAAAAATTGGAGATTCGGCGAATTGGCGTCCATCAAGGGTATATCAAAGTTGGTAGACTCCCCACCCCAAGCCCTGGCCCAGGCCGGGCTGCCCGGAACCTCTGTGTGCATTTTATTTAGACAATCAGTGTGGCCCAGTTGCAACCACTAGTATTTGAAGACTCCATCTTTCAGTCAGAGCTATTCCTGGTATCGAAGACCTTGGAGGAAGAGTCCGAGGCTCAAAGTTAGGGGAATCCAGGCAGACTCAAGAAAACAGCCTCTACTGGATAGCTACACTCCCATTTCAAAGATGAGAAAACGGGGATTTAGAGAGGTTGCCTGTTTTGCTCAAGGTTGGTTCAGAATGTAGAATTCGATCTATATGCAGCCTAAGCCCATGTCCGGCATACAGCTGAGAAGGATCTGCCTCTTTCACAAGATGGCCTCATGTAACCCCCAGGCAATTCACATTCCCCCAGGGACCCACTGTGCAAAGCACATTTCTAGTCAATTGCCTGCACATGGACTCATCAGAAGGCTGGTGTGCTGCACCATGCAGCAATTACTGTGCTAGAAACAGTGGGGAGCCAGAAAGAGAAATCATAATAGATATCATTAGCCACTAAGGACTCTTCCAGGGCTTTCCACGTTTTCCCTCATTGGATCCTAACTACAACCTTGTGGAATAACTACATATTTATCCCCACTTTACGGGTAAGGAAACTATTGCGTATGAGGTCAAGTGTCTTGCCCAAGATTATTCTACAGAAATGGAATTCTAACCCAGGCAATCTGGCTCTCTAAAGCCCATGCTCTTGCTTCCTATGCTAATGTATATAATAACGAGACCCCCATTACCAGCGATAATTATTATTATTATGACGATTTACCGAGCTTCTCCATCTGCCAGGCACCATACTTCGTACCCAAACTCACACAAAACCTTCCATCCTATGGAGATTGGGGGATTTGGAAAGCCCACAGAAGCGAGTGTGGAATTCAAATATTCACCATTTTAAAGATGGGTAAACTGAGTCCTAGAGAGGTCAAGCAGTTCGCTCATGGCCATAAAGCTGGTAAATGGCAGCGCTGATGTTGTAACACTGGTAGTTGACCCCAGAGGCTGTGTCCTTAGCCATTATATTATAATGCACGCCCCCCCCCCAAAAAAAAAACCCAGAAAATCAGGGCTGCCTTAAAAGGACGGAGTTATCCTTATTTTCCTATAACATCCTGAGCTAGGGATTTCCAGCTTAATTTTCATTTCAGCCAAAGACTTAAAGCTTCGGAACCATTGCTAAGCCTTGTGTACTTGTTTGTCTTCCAGTGAGTCAGACAAATGAATCCGACTGCACCTTCATCTGTATGATGACAGGAAAGTCAGGTGAACCAGCAGCCATTCTTTGACAAGCTCTCTGAGCTGAGACATAAGCCGAACCCTCCAGCAGGTGAACCCAAGATTTGATCCTGTGGGTGTGGTTTTTGTAGGACGGAACCTTTCTGACTTCTGGGAGGTGGCAGAGAAATCTCCTGTTATCAACTACACATTTACCAGCAGCATGCCTGGTGGTCCAGGTGAGTGTGAACCCCCCAGACTCCTACTGTCGTCTCCAGACCAGGGGCGCAGCCAGCAGACTGAAGACTGAATTCTGCCCTCACGGGTTAGCTATACTGTGCTAAAATCAAAGGTTTTGGCCATTAAAGAAAAGTAATCTCTGGATTCTCTTACAAAAGAAGATCTGGTGACCAAGAAACAACGGGAGTTGAGTAGCCGCTGTCCCCATCCCTCTTATTAGAAGGGACACCTTTCTCCTTTTTTCCAGAGCCCTCGCTGCTCCCTGTTACCTTGCTTTTTTTTTTTTTCATATTAACTACTGGCTTTTGTAGGTAATTGAATTTGTGACCTTGTTTAGACATTGTCACCCTATAATACTCAGCCGCTACCCAACTGTCCTCTACGCCTCTGAAAGCACCTAGCCATCTGCTGGCCTTTTCCCTGGCACCAGGTGGCCTTTTTAGAACCACCTTTAAGCCTTCTTTTGTCCCTACACTTAACTGTCATTTCTAGCTGAATGACGTTTCTTGAATCTGGCTGGTCCTCCAAGATTATCGGCTGCTGCCGTGATTATCTCAGTTCCAGTCCTTGCCATCTACCTTTGAATTAGAATAGCCTCTGAGCCAGTTTTCCTGGACCCAGCCTCTTATTTCTTTAAAATATCCATTCATTGGGGTGCCTGGGTGGCTCAGTTGGTTGAGTGTCCGACTTCAGCTCAGGTCATGATCTTGTGGTCTGTGAGTTCGAGCCCCGCGTCGACTCTGTGCTGACAGCTCAGAGCCTAGAGCCTGCTTCGGATTCTGTGTCTTCCTCTCTCTCTGCCCCTCCCCTGCTCATGCTCTGTCTCTTTCTGTCTCCGAAATAAATAAACATTAAAAAAAAATTTAAAATACCCATTTACTGCCATAAGAGTGATAGTCTTGAAATACGATTAGGTTTTGTCTCTTCACTGCTCAGAACTAAGTCAAGATCAGAGGGTCCAAAGTGCTTAGCTTGGAGTATACGTTTTTCTGGAATTATATTCAGCCTCATCTGCTCTCTTCCTTTGAATCTTCTGTTCAAATGACATTGAAATTCCTGCCTCTTCTTGCAGATGGCATCTACCTCCCATGCCTCTGCTGCCTTGCTCAGCCTGGAACTCTTTCCATATTTCAGCACCCAACTTATCTGTCAATCCCCAGCTCAGTTGCTGCGTCCCCCTTCCTAAAAATCTCCCAATCAAAATTTGTCTTCTATCTCTATGACTCTGCACCATGGCGCTTGTAAGTTATTTGGACTCTGTGTTACTCCAGGTTGGATCACAGGTGACTTTCCATGTGTGTCTGCTCCCTGAGTGGTCATTGATGGCAGACACCGAATCTTTTCCAGCCCCACAACCTTCCTCCCCTCTCCCTTCCCCCTGGCCGTATCATGCACATAGTAGGTTCTTCATCAGGGTTTCTCGGCATGAAATGAAATTTACAGTAAATCTCCAGTTCCACTGGAGTTGGCTGCCGTGATTTACATCTTGTAGCTGCATTTATTTATCTTAGTTATGCTGAGGAAGGAAGCTCATCTCTTGTGGAACGAGGCTGCTTGATAAGGGGATAAAATGGGCATTTGGCGGGTTCCCTTCTCCTACTTGACTCTGAGGACAGATCTGAGGATTGAGTGAATGTCACTTCTTTAGAGTCCTTCCACGACCTTCCCACCCCAGTCTCAACTGTGTGTCTTCTTTGTGCTCCTTTATAAAGTACAAATGCTTGGGAAGAGAGAACATATGTACAAGTGGACTCACATTTACAAGGTTGATGTGCCCGATAGCCAGTCAGTCACCTGGCTGAGTGATGGTTTGATTGGGAGTCCATGAGTCCATGAGTCCATGAGTCCATGAGTCCAATTCATCTGGAAACAAGGACCGGGCCTCTGGTGCATGTGGGTATTACCGAGCCCAGAAGTAAGGCCGGAGAGAAGAAATAAGGCTGCAGGGCCACATCTTAACCATTGCACAGGATGTTCCATACACAATGACCTGCCAAAGGGGCAAGCAGGGGCTGAAATCTCACCAGTGAGCAGGTTGGCCTTCGTCCACCCAGAAGGGACCCGATGGGCCAGTGGGGGCCTGTCATCCTAACGTGCCGTCCCCACCACTCAAGTCTTCCCAACTGGAGAGAGAAGGTAAAATTAACACTCGAGCCCCGTCCTCCATTTCTCCACGGAGCACCCAAGGGGGCCGGGTAGATTTCCCCCTGAATTGAGCCTTCCTGCCATCTCTGTGAGAGCCTGTCTTTCAAGAAGCTTCTGCCTGGCACCATCTGATTCTGTTCACAGTGATTCCTCACACAGTGTTTTTGGAAGTTGATATTTTAGCTTACTTTGCCATTCAAAAAGAAACCCTCCTCTTTGGTGATATAGGGTACTGTTCCAAGTAAGGTTCGAAACTCGGCATTCAGTACATTTGTTGTCCAATGACCTTTCAGGGGCTTGACAGTTCTGTGTCCAAAGTGTCAACCATATGAAAGCTTCCCTTGACTATCAATCTCCCTTCACGTACAGCTACCAAGGGCTCGTCTGTGACTTCAATGCCCATACCCACAAGCCAGCAAACACTACCAAGGAGAAGCCCCCCACACGGAGCCCAGAGCACCAGAGTGTCCTCTCTGAGAACTGTTCCCTGGACAGAGACAACTCCTCTTGCAAAGGGAGAGCAGACCCAGAACCCGGGAAGCCTTCCTGAGCTTCACTCCAGGACCGCGGCCACGCAGGGCAGCGCCTCCCCAACCCCAGCCTTGGGTAAGAAGCTTTCTCTCCCTTTCCCCTCCTGTCCTGTTTCTCCCTCTTAGTCCCCCTAGGCTCATGTAAATAAATAAAGTTCTTCCTTTCTCCCTTCTCCAGAGACCTCTTTCTTTTTCAGCATCCCTTAAATAAGAGAGTGACATGAGCCAGTATGGATTCCATACAGACAAGCCAAAGCGGCAAATATCATTGGCATAACGTCCTGCTAACCCTCACGTGTATGGCTTTTATTCTGAAATAGTTTAAGACTCACAAGACGTTGCAAAAATAGTACAGAAGTCTCCCTGATCCCTCTCACCCACCATCCCCCAATAAGCATATCGTAAGAATATCTGACATAAGTGAAGCACATTGAAGGATAAGGTATTTTTATTTTGGCAAAGCACTTAGCAATATCTCTCCTGAAATGAGCACTAAATGGTGGACTTTTATGGCAGCGTTAGGCTGATTTAAAACTGGCTGGATAATGATGCCAAGAATATGTTAACGACATGATGCCAGCATGGAAATCTGCCACAGACGGCGTGTCGGGGGTTCCTCCTTCCCCACCACCTTTGTGGACACCATCACTGGTGTCGCTGAAGATGAAAAGCCGTGCCTCGTGCTATTTGGAAATAAGATACAACTGAGATAACTCTTTCGTTAAAAGCCAATAGTGCCTCAGTGAGTTCCGACAAGGGACTGGAGTCATAGGATTCATTCATTCATTCATTCTCCCACCCACTCATCAAGACGTGTATTTACTACCAGACTCCAGACTGGCTGTTGAAAACGCAGCTCTATCAATGTTTCATTTCGTACTTGAGCTCGCAAACCAGGGAGGGAGACACAGGCATGTGAACTGAGAGTTACATCTAGCCTACAAAGAGCTATTGTCCTGGAGAGCCCAGTGAAGGGGCTTCTGGGAGGAGGTGAGAACTGATGGGAGTCAGGCAAGCAGGAAAACAAGAATGAGGAAAAGCAATCAACTTCACCGACCAGAAAGTCGTTAGTACCATAGCCAGTATCTTGACAATTACCCATAATTAGAAAGTTTCCTAGAATAATATTTTTTAAAAATGATGTGATGGCTAGTGGCAAGAAAAATCATAAAATACTTAGCTACAAGCCTAGCAGGAAAAGTGCTGGGTTTTATACAAGAAAAAACTATAAAACTTTAATGGGAGAAATACATGCATATTTAAATAAATGATGTGATATCACTTCTCGGCCTTTTGGCTAAGATCGAGTGAAATAAAGGAAGTGATATACCATGTTCTGGATGAGAAATCTAAATATTTTTTTAAAAATTTGTAATTTTTTAAAGGTACGTTTAGTTTTTTGGGGGGGGAGAGGGAGAGAGGCAGAGTGTGAGCGGGGGAGAGGCAGAGAGAGAGGGAGACAGAATCCAAAGCAGGCTCCAGGCTCTGAGCTGTCAGCACAGAGCCCAACGTGGGGCTCAAACTCACGAACCGTGAGATCATGACCTGAGCCGAAGTTGGATGTTTAACCCACTGAGCCACCAGTGGGTTATTTTCAAGATGGCATTTGTTCCCAACTTAACTTACAGAGTTAAAGTTTTCCAAGGGGGTGAGTTTTTTGTTTTGTTTTTTAAGTTTATTTATTTTGAGAGAGAGAGGGAGAGAGAGAGAGAGCAGGGGAGGGGCAGAGAAAGAGGGAGAGACAGAGACTCCCAAGCAGGCTCCATGCTGTCAGCAGGGAGCCAGATGCAAGGCTCGAACCCACGAACCATGAGATCATGACCTGAGCCAAAACCACGTGTCGGCTGCTTAACCAACTGAGCCACCCAGGCGCCCAACGGGTTATTTTTAAAAACTTGAAAAGAAGTTATTTTAATTCCTATCATGGAAATGAGCAAGAGAGAACCCCCAGCAATTGTTTGAAAGGCCACCAAGAGAAGAGAAGAGAAGAGAAGAGAAGGTCTTCCTCAAATGCCGTGATATTGCATTGTTATCAGTAGCATTATCATCATCTCCATTTTGATGATAACACCAAAAAACAACGTGAAGTCACTTGTCCCAAATTTCACAACATGGGGGGAGGAGGCAGGAACAGAATTTCCCCTCCAGGTCTCCTTACCTCAAACCCCTTAACCTTGCCTCTAGATCATGAGATGAGAAATGTGCTCTTAACTTTGAGGGAACCCACTGTCCCCCGAACACACACTTTAGCTGATTGTTCGGACGTCCAAGGGATTTGCAGGTTTCTTTCTCGTTTTTTTAAAGATTTTTTTTTTATGTTTATTTTTGAGACACAGCAAGACAGAGTATGAGCAGGGGAAGGGCAGAGAGGGAGACACAGAATCTGAAGCAGGCTCCAGGCTCTGAGCTGTCAGCACAGAGCCCGACATGGGGCTCGAACCCACGAACTACAACATCATGACGTGAGGTGAAGTCAGACGCTCAACCGACTGAGCCACCCAGGTGCCCCAAGATTTTATTTTTAAGCAATCTCTACATTCAATGTGGGGCTCGAACTGACAGCCCTGAGATCGAGTCACATGCTCTACTGACTGAGCTAACCAGGTGCCCCCTGGACGTGTCTTTCTTGTTGGTAATTAGGAAAATAAAGCTTACCGTGGTCCATTTATTCCAGGTCAGGGTAGAGCGTAAGTCCCTGGGTCATCTGTATTATGCATGCACATTACATTTGGTAACATTTCAACGTTTTGGTAATTTTATACCTGAATCAAAATGGTCAAGAATTAAAAGTCTTCTGTTACTGCCCCATGTGCAGCTACCAGGAGGGTGACCCGGACTCCATGGGTGACAACCAGCAGTCAGGCGTGGACTTCCAACCTACCTGTGCCCTGGGCTCAGACCATGGGTGAGAAAGCACCCGGAGGGCCTCCCTGGGAAACATCGTCCTCCACACCCACATCTCCTGCAGAGGCCATGACCACGTGGAGCCTTTCTGGGCCACCTGTTGGGGCAGCGTCCACACAGGGCAGCTCATCCCAGGCCAGCCCAGCCTCAGGTAAGAGGGGATGTTCACTGAAGTTAGCATTGTCTGTTTTTAAAACATTTTCTAAATTTTTATTTGTTTTATATTTTCTTATGTTTATTTTTGAGAGAGAGAGAGAGTATGAGAGGGGGAGGGACAGAGACAGAGGGAGACACAGAATCGGAAGCAGGCTCCAGGCCCCGAGCTGTCAGCACAGAGCCCGATGCGGGGCGCGAACTCGTGAACGGTGAGATCACGACCTGAGCCGAAGTCGGACGCTCCACCGACTGAGCCACCCAGGCGCCCCACATTTTCTAAATTTTTAAAATGCAATGCACACACAGAAAAGTAATAAACCATAAGTTAGCACCATAATTAATAATCGTAAGGTGAACCCTCTCTTCCTTCTCTTTACCCCAACCCTTTTCTTCCCATCTTGGATGAGTGAGCGAATGAATGAATGAATGAATGAAAACTCCTTCTTCGCAGGAATCTCCCACATTCTCTCTTTTATGTGCCCACATTCCAATGTTTAATTCCAATGATTTTAATTTTTTTTCACTCAACTGACATGAATTTTCTATATTTTCTACTCCTCTAACCAAATGCATAAGTTTTATTGTATTTGTTTTTGAAATCACTTCCTCTGGAACCTGCAGCCCAAGGCCCTCCATCCACGCTCTATGTGGTAACAGTCATCGTTGGTATTTAGTGTCCATTAACTGGCCCTTCTTCCCTCTGGGCCACACTCTCCTCAAGGGCCTGAGTCTTTAATCTCCAGTTCTCAGGAAACACAGCAGGCACTCAGGAAAAGTGTGTCGAACTACCTACATTTCGTAAGAAAGGGCCTAAGGGCCAAGTCTCGACTTGAGGCTCGAAATCGCAATTGCGCAAACAGACAAGGAAACGCAATTTTGATAGCTGTAATCGGAGTAGCGCCTCACATGATTGCACAGGAAAACTAAAAGCTAACGCCTTTGGTTTGGGCTAGCTGGATGCCAGCATCCAGCACGGCCCGAGGCCATGCGCTCTGGTCTTTATTTCAGACACAGCCGGGCTGGGACCCTGATTCCACCGTTGCTGCTGTCTGTCCTTAGGCGGCTCTCTTGATCTCTCTGAGGCCTGGGTTTTTCATCTTCAAAACGGGGGAGGCGATACCTGCTTTCAGAGTGGCTGTGAGGATTGGATCGGGTGGCCCGGGTGAGGTGTTGATCTCAGCACACAGCACCCTGGCACCACCCAGTCAATGGCAGCTCCTACTAACTGGTCCCACGGCACCCACAGCGCAGCATGGCCACAGCCCCCGGAGACGCGCTTCCCCAAGGGCGGTGGCAAACGGGACACCGCCAGAGCGAAGCATGCCTCTGCTCTCGCCCTGGGTCCCTTTCGTCTCTGATCGCCTGCGAGTCTGCGGTCCTTTCGTTCAACTGTAACCAGCGATCACAGACTAGTGAACTCTGTGTTGGGGTTGCGCCGAGAGCCGCTCGGTTTCTAGAACCGCACGGAAACACGCCCCGGTAGCAAGCATCAGTTGACGCCTTCCGGGTTCAGGGGCTTAGCTGATGAGTAGGAGCCCCGTAATTGAAGAGGAATCCAAAAAAGCTGTTGGCCCGCTTGGAGAAGATGGCAAGACTGCCCATGGACCCGATCTGCTCGCTAACCACTGTACTTCTTGGGTCTCAGAGAAGACGTCACCCGTCCCCAGCCCCCCATTCGCTGCTCAGGTGTGGGTCAGCCTTGCCCCTGACCAATCTCCCCCTCCCTCACCCCCTGCCAGGAGGCTGTGTTATCAGGTTGGCCGGGGGCCAGGATCTTGACCGCAAGGCTCATGCCCCGAGGTGGCCCTTCAATACGACTTCATGAGCGTGATCAAGAGAACTGTTGAGATGAGCCCATGCTTGAGGGTGAAGATGCGCTGAGCGTGCCCGGACGCAGAGGAGCGAAAAACACGTCCGCTTCGCCCAGGAGCAGCGGTGCTTGGACGCGGCCCGTGCCACGCCACTGCCGTCCATCCACTTCTTCATTTCGTGCCAGGATCGGCGGCTTCCCCATGGCATCCGATGCCCGTTTCCTCCTCTACCCTGGGAGTGCCGCCATTGCAAGTTCTGTCTCCTCCTCCGGTCTGCATCCTTACTGCCCTGCCAGGTACCTGGCTTAATAACCACCGCTGGTCGACTAGGGCAGGACCTGTGGCATAGGGCCTCTTCCCCCCATCAGGCACCCCGAGATCAAACACAGGCTCGGGGCGCCCGGGTGGGTCAGTCAGTTAAGCGTCCAGCTCTTCATCTCGGCTCAGGTCATGATCTCACGCTTCATGGGTTGGAGCCCAGCATGGGGCTCTGCACTGACAACACGGAGCCCGCTTGGGATTCTGTCTCTCTCCCTCTCTTTCTGCCCGCCCCCTTCTCTCTCTCTCTGTCTCTCAAAATAAATAAACTTTTGGGGCGCCTGGGTGGCGCAGTCGGTTAAGCGGCCGACTTCAGCTCAGGTCACGATCTCGCAGTCCGTGAGTTCGAGCCCCGCGTCGGGCTCTGTGCTGACGGCTCGGAGCCTGGAGCCTGTTTCCGATTCTGTGTCTCCCTCTCTCTCTGCCCCTCCCCCGTTCATGCTCTGTCTCTCTCTGTCCCAAAAATAAATAAACGTTGAAAAATAAATAAATAAATAAATAAACAAATAAACTTTTGAAAAATTCCAAAAACAAAAACCACGAGCTTACCCCTCTCTCATTTCCTCCCAGGAACCTTCACCCCTGGCACACAGACCCCGAATCCAACCAAGGCACCAGCCCCTAGATACCCACAAACAGGTAAGACCGTGCATCCGGGAAGAGAGACCCAACACCGTGTGGCTTTGGGGCAGGGGCTCAAGAGGACAGGATCGCCTGCAGGCTGACTGACCTGGTCACTGTACTTTACTGGTTCTCCCGGGCAAAGGGCAGGAGAACTGCTTTATGAGTCTTGCTGTGTCACGAAATGGTCCTGTGGTTTGCGTAAAGCACTCCCTCTTTCTAGGCCACGGTTTCCCTAGAGAACTTTCAAGAACTTTTCATCCTGAAGGTGCTATGATTCTTCGGTTGTGTGTATAACCCAAGGCCAGTTCACGCTGACTTTTGCGAGGCCATTCTCGCCCCCTGCAGGTGACGCCCCGTTGGCCTGGCCATTTGCCCCTGGAGAGGAACCAGCCCTGGCCCCGGGACCCCACCAGGCTTCTAGTACGTACCAGCAGCCCGCCGCTCTGTGGCTTTCGTTTGTTTGCAACGAGGTTGTGTCGTGCCGCAAAAAGAGGTCTGTTTGATAAATGTAGGTTCGGGCCGCTGGGATTCAATCCTAGCTCTGCCATTTACTGCAGAGGGGGTCTCCCGCGCTCAGCTTCAGTAATTCAGCTCCCCCGACTGTGAAGTAGGAATAATAACAATCATTGCAGGCACTAAAACCGTCTTCATCCCTCCCGGGTTTTGGATTGAGTGAGATAATGTGTGGGGAAGAGATTTGGAACGACAGAGTTCCGCATAACTTCATCCAATCAACTTGTATCGAGTGAACGCCTATTGAGCTAGGGGCTGTGCGCTTAGCCAAACAGAGGCTGTTCCTTTACTGAGCCTGATGTCCACGGGGGCAGCAGAAGGGGTAAGGGGTAAAGGATGACTCCCAAACTCAACCTCCATTCCCCAGGTGCAATTTACTTGTGTTCCATTTTATTTTGTTATTATTTTTTATGTTTATGTTTTTTTTTTTTAGTTTTGAGAGAGCGAGAAAGAGAGAGAGACAGACAGAACGTGAGTGGGGGAGGGGCAGAGAGAGAGGGAGACACAGAATCCGAAGCAGGTTCCAGGCTCCGAGCCGTCAGCACAGAGCCCGATGCGGGGCTCGAACCCACGAACCGTGAGATCATGACCTGAGCCGAATTCAGACGCTCAACCGACCGAGCCATCCAGGCGCCCTGCTTTTTGTTCCATTTTAAAGGACACCCTGCCTTCCCCACCTCTGACACCTCGTTTTTATGGAATTCTCAAGGAGGCTTACGTCCAGGGCTTAATGGCTGGGTTTTCGAGATCCCTCACAGAGGCCCGGGGCTTCGGTGTCTGGGATGCTTTGCATCTTTCCACTTTGGGATGCCTCACTCCCTTCCTTTCTGTTCTGTACGACAGAAATTGATACAAAGTGAGTCTATGACAGAAACTGATACAAAGTGAGTCCTTCAAAGCGGCTTTGAATCCTCAGGCCCCTCCTACTCCTGGACGCCTTTCTATACTAGTTTTCTGAATGTGCCTGGACTCTCCAGTCATATATCAGTGGAGCATTATTAAATTCCTGGGGACGACACAGCCTCTTTTTTTCATACAGCAGAGATCTGCCTCCAACCCCCGCCCAACCTGCGGTGAATGGGCCTTTCAGACACAAAGCCATGATTATACTGCCGGCCCAAATTATAGCTATTTTCCCCCAGAGGTTCTAGAGAAACACATTATTGGAGCAGATAAGGGCAGTTGTCAGCCTGAGTTTCAGAAAACAAGTTAGCTGTATTTAAAACTATCTGTATGTATATCTTTTTCTGTATCTATATCTACTTACATAGCTCTGTATATCATCTATCCATCTATCTCTGTGTTTCTATCCTTCTATCCAACCATCCATCTGATAAGCAATATTAGTATAAAATAAAGGGGTTTGATGACTTCCAATAAATGATTGTTTCCATTCACACACACACACACACACACACACACACACAAATCATGCCGCAGAGTCTTTTGAGATTTACTCATTCATCCATTCAATGAATGTTTACTGAGCTCCTACTGTTTCCCAGGCACCGTGCTAAGCCTATTTTTACTTTTTCTTTTTGCAATAATTCCGCAAGGTAGGTAGTGTTATCTTCATGAGGCAATTTCGGTGATCACTACAGATAAAATGTGACTCTGTTTTGAGCCTAGATTTGTCTAATTCCAAAGACTGTGCTCATCCCAACCTTCTAGGTTATCTCTCCCAAGATGCTCCATTTGTACAAAATATCACAGTTTGAGGGAGAGATTGAGAAGTTTCTTTAGAGAAAAAGCGGTAAATGCTGTGTGCATGCAGAGAAGGAGAGATTAGCTCCATTTGGAGGAATTGTTGAAGTTTTCACTGATTAAGAAAGAGGCATCTGGGGCGCCTGGGTGGTCCAGTCGGTTAAGCATCTGGAGTCTTGATCTCGGCTCAGGTCATGGTCTCACGGTTCGTGAGTTCAAGCACCATATGGGGCTACATATGTTAAGTATGGAGCCTGCTTGGGATTCTCTCTCTGTCTCTCTCTCTCTCTCTCTGTCTCTTTCTCTCTCTCTCTCAGAATAACTAAATCTAAAAAATTCAAAAAAGAAAGAGGCATCTGCACAGGGCTGCCTCTAAATATGCATTCTACGCAGAGGCACAGCTTATGCAAAGGCACTGGGGCAGGAAAGGACGATGCTTCCCAGGGGCTGAGAGATTCCCTGTGGCTGGAGTTCTGATGCTACAAGAAAGAATGATGAGGAGTGAGGGTGCAGAGGCTGGCAAGGGGGAGGTCCCCAGGGCCATGGAAGGAGCGTGGACTTCTCCTCGCACAAGTGGAAGGGACGTGGTCAGATTTGTGGTGCAGAAAGTTTTCTCTGGCTGCAGAGTGGAGACTAAAGAGGAGAGGGGAGGAGCAGGGATACTGGTGAGGAGACTTGTACTAACCGCAGCCACAGATGATGGGGGCTGGAGCTAGGAGCTGGTTGTGTGCATAAGGAGACTCGAGTGGTGCTCAAGAGACAGAATCAAGAGGTTGTAATTATGGTAGAGTGATCACCAGGAGGTCACCAAACGTTATTCCCAAGTTTGAACGACTGAGCGGCGAAGTGCCATTTCCTGAGATGAAGAAGGCTGGGAGACGCTGGGAAGGGGAGAGGGGGTGTGGATGTTGAGCCTCAGGAATGTTAAGGATGCTCAGACCCTAAAGTGTGGTGGTTACAAGCATAGGTTCCAGACTCAGGTCTTGCCAAGGTCACTATCTGCTGTAGAACTGATCAAACTGCAGAATCACTCAGACCCTCAGTGTCCTCTCCTATAAAATAGTACTTCTGATATCCACACTACATGCTTTCATGAGGATTAAATGAAATAATGTAGGTACAGAACTTAGGAAAGTACCTGATATATAGCACGCGCTCAGTAAGTTAAAGCAAAAAGTCATAGCATCTTTACAAAAATTGACAAATGCCCTGGAGGGTTTACTGTTCTAATTGACTCAGGATAAAATTCAAAATACATTTCCTTCCTACATTTTTAATGAAATCGTTCTCGAACATTATAAGCCCTCTCTCCACTTTAATAAATACACAACCGACAGATGAATGGATAAAGAAGATGCTGTATGCATACACAATAGAATAGCACTCAGCCATAAAAAGAATGAAATCCCGCCCTTTGCAACAAC